TCTGATTTTATCTTCATGTTTCATGGAAAGGAATGCCCGCTTAAATTCGTTTAGCGTCCCCTCATTACACCTCCTCTGGTGCAGATTATTAATTTTAACCTCGCTTTTATGAAGCAATTAACAGAATCTACCCCTTGTAAACAATAACGCCTTTGTCTCGTTAACAAACATAATGATGTTATCGTAAATTGGATTAAATGCTTTTTAGATGTAATTAAAGCGATTAATTAATTTCCAAAAATCGAGTGTATAGGCCTTTTTACTAGTAACGAAGCATTCCATCTAAGTCCTTAGCGGTTACAATGTTACTGTATTTTGATTCTTAAAAGAGGTTGGGTAATGAGTGTCTAAGGACCCCGGCATTCGCTTACTATCAGGTACGTATTTCTTTTATTTTAATAGTTTTACAGATATCAGTATAACTATTGATAAAATAAAACAGTCATTATTCAACATAGTTCCATAAATAATATTTATTAAATAATAATAATATATATAAATCTATCCTAAGACTCAATGAAAACCGGTAAACAAACATAAAAAAACATACGCGTGGAATTTCTAGAACCTCAGCCTTTTTGAAATCGGCTAAAAGAAATTTCTTGTTTTACCACTGGCACAGAATAAATAATAATTACCAGTGGTTTTAAAAATAGAAGAAATGGCAACAATATAAATGTTTACATCGGCAATAGACTTATCTTTATCTCATATCCTGCAAAATCCATCCCATACGGTTCACGATTGTTAGTTAATCTCAGACCAGCAATAAAAGATAATGACGCAGCGCTGCGTACGTTTCCACTTACACCAAAACCATGCTCAACTTCTTGGCACACACTAACGCACGTATCTTTCTTCTTACTTTCTTAATCATCCCTAAAAATTTCGCTGCTGGACGCATACGATCCTAAAACTATGTTAGTGTTACCGCCTTGCCACTCTGATGCGTGTTGGTAAACTACTCATGTCTTCGAAATATTCTTTTTCTTATTTCTCTGACTTGCAGGTTTCCTCGCGATATTTTCCTTCACCGCCAAACCATAGTAAAAATATTTACACATCCTTAATACCATATATACTTTTCAGCATCACCTCCAAAGAGAAACTTATGCTATATAATTAAATTATACTATACGTACTGGTGATGCATGTGTGAGTGTCTTCTTGATGTTCATAAGTTCTTCTTCTTCTTCATAAGTGAACCATGGTTTCGCCGTCACACGTAATGTACACAGCGCTCCTTCTATCTTTCTTTATTGCCCTGGGTAGTCTATATATTTTTACTGATCTTAGTCTAAATAATAATGTTCTTATATACTGGATGACCTTTATTACCGTCTGGAAAAAATAAGGTGTAACATGTGAACGTAGTAGAAGCCTACTTTACGTACGGCAATAAAACTATAAATTTAGTAGGCATCTTTTATCTTGTCATTTCGCAGGGTCATAGGCTAGGGTTGATATGATTTGAATTTTAATAGATTTTAATTATTTAATTAATTTTATTAAAAAATTTTGTTTCTTATTTTTTGTAAAATATCAGTGATATAGGCTTCTACTTCGTTCACATGTTACACTCTAATTTTTTCCAGACTGTAAAAAAGATCATTTAGTATATCATACAAATCATAAATTTACACAAGGTTGTAGTAACGTCTTGGAACTTTTTTGCCCACAATAATTTAACAAGACTAAGCAAAATATTCATTAAAAATTAAAATAATAATAATAATTTATTAGACACGAAAAGAAAATTACACAAAGCACGATTTTACAATTTGATTACTTTTAGTACAAAATACAAAATGTGCAAACATTGGTTTTTCACTTCTGTGCTAGGGTAACCTGTGTTACAGGAGTTAATAAAATAAAAGCAATGGAATTCATAAACTCATCCAATCGCAAGTCAAGTACAACCATAAATATCTTATAAAAATTTTAGTTTATCTTTACACATAAAAGCTTGTTGATTTAGCAGATAATTCTATTTTAATATCTTTAATACCAATTCATAAATTTTACTATTATTTTGACCTGCCTTAGCCTTATTTTGCCAATAAAGTAAATAGCTCGCATATCTCAAAAGGTTGCTGAACCGTGCCGAACAATATGTATTAAACAATTATTTTACAGATTACTTAGTAACTGATTTCTCAGAGATTTATTATAATTATATTTTTTTATCTTCACGCACAATCCCTAACGGGGTAGCCAGAGAGAACAGATCGCCAAGTGTCACGATCCTTACATACCTCTTTCGCTTCTTTCAGGTTCATTAACTTCTTCATACATGCACGTCTAGGTATCCGAGTGCTCTTGACCTTCCCCTCTTCGAGCAATTTGCTCACATGGTCGTTAGTCTCGGTCTACCTCGACACCTTTTAATATTTACTTTCGCTCTATATATTTTCTTCACCATTCGGTCTTCACTCATTCGCTCAACGTGCCCAAACCATTGGAGTACGCCCCTGTCAATTTTTGTGATAAGGTCATCTTTCAATCCTGCCATATTGCGAATCTCTTCGCTTCGCTTTCGATCAGCTATGGTTACGCCACACATTTTACGAAGAGATCGCATCTCCACTGCATTCAACTTGCTTTTATACTTCTTCTGGCAACACAGGTTTCGCTGCCATATAACAAAGTCGGTACCAACACTGCGTTATGTATTGCAAGGCGTGCACTCTTCACCACGCCTTGCCTTTTGACTAATGCATTGAGGGCACCATTGACTTTGTTTCCGGCAGCGACGCGCCTATCCACATCTAAATCACATCTTCCATCCCGGCTGAAAGCACTCCCCAAGTATACAAATTCATTTACCTGTTCTAGACGTTCCTGATTTACCCATATTTCACATTTCGTTCTCTCTTCGTCCTTTTCAAATACCAGAACCTTAGTTTTATTAGCATTCAAACGGAGACCTTTAATTTCACATTCCTCTTTCATACACGTGACTAATGCCTGCAGTTCTGATGGTGCAATAAGCACTGCATCATCAGCATACAGCAGACAATTTACTTTAATGTCACCCAATTTCACACCCAAACAGCTATTTTTCAGCTTCTGTAAACAGCTGTCGAGATACAGTATGAACAGCCAGGAATACATGACACAACCCTGTTTTACGCCCGCTTGGACGCTAAATATGGGTAACAGGTCATGCCCTACCCGCACACAGGCTTTACAGTCATAGTAAAGTGACTGCACAGCCCTTAGCAATCGACCGTCCACACCATATCCCGGCAACAGTTCCCACATTTTCTTCCTTATAACCTTATCAAATGCTTTCTCCAGATCCAAAAAAGCACAGAAAATCCTCTGGTTAACACTCAGAAGCTTTTCCGTGATCATGCGGAGAGAAAAAATTTGATCCGTGCATCCTCTTCCAGGTCTAAATCCGCATTGTGCCTCCCATAAGAATCTTTCCGATTTCTCTTGCATCCTACGTGTCAAAACCTTCGAGTAAACTTTACTTGCTAAACTGGTCAAGCTGATCGCCTGATAGCACCCGCAGTCAAAATGTGAACCTTTACCTTTATATAAAGGCACAATGACCGCAAATCGCCAATCATCCGGGACATCTCCCGTCCGCCAGCAGAAGTTGCACAGCAGACGAAAGCTATCCCAGACGCGAGGCCCACCGTACTTGACCATTTCAGCAGTAACTCTGTCTAGTCCCGCAGCCTTACCACATTTCAAACTTCGAATCGCACGTTCAATCTCTTTCATGCTGATGACTTCAGTGTCATCGAGGTCCGTGTCTGGCGTGCCAGTCATGGCGTTACCTTCACCCGGATCCTTCACTAAGATCATGACACGCATACATTTCTCTATAAAATTCACTCCATCGCTGCATGACGTCCGATTTTTATGAGAGAACGTCATTGGTTCTCGAAAGCACTTTGTTCATTCTTAAGGCTGTCGCACCACTCCGGGACCTTCCAACCTCTTTCCAGAAGAGTTTGGAGTTTTCCTTAAAGTTGTGCGACAACCTCTCGTCCGCTTCTATTCTACACCTTTCACGTACTTCCTCAATCAATGTTTTCGCATGAACTTTCTGCAGCTTATATCTTTCTTTCATAATTTTATGTATTCTTTAATATTCCAATAAGTTTTGAACAAACAGAAATTTGGTCATTAATATTGTTAATAGATTAGCATTAAATATTTTCTGGAAGTTTGTTGTAAATGCTTATAATATATTACGTCATGAAAAAATTAATGACTGTGGAGTCAAGGATTAAACCAGGCTTTTTTCGAAAAATTTATAGTAAGCGCTTGATAGATGAATCGGCTTTTGCATTACAGTAACCCTAACTCAGATTCTGATTTTAGTTTAGACACTCTAAGTCTGTGTTTTCTTATGATTATTCCGCTATTAATGGAAAATCATTTGTTAGCCGGCAATTATGTATTAAATATAGATATTTTCCATATTTAATCCGTAGCGTTGATATATAAAAGTGTCAGTTACAAGTATCTTCATGTTTTATTTTTTACCTATTATGTTAAGCTTGAATGCGTTTGTAGAGTGGAATTAGGAGGTTGTCAAGCTTCAGTAGTAGTGTAAAAAAAAGGACCGAGTATTGGCACTTTATGAATACCTAATCATCCTGTGGGTGTTCTATGAGACGGCACAGGAATCTAAAACAGGAAATAGGCAGCAGCATCATCCTGATAACAACCTAAAATAATTAAGAAAAAACTACGGTTGCCAACCCAAGCTTGCCAAGCTTGGCAACTATGGTAACTTACCAAGCGTAGCAACTATGGCATAACCCATGCAACAATCCATGGGGGTGGCATATGTCCACCAGTGGACTTTTATAGACTGTAATGGAAATGGTAACTTGAAGTTTATCGAGTTATATTTTTAATTATCTAATTATTTATAATTAATGTGTATTTAAAATAATAGGCAGACACAATTCCATCTACAACGAACTTATTAGGTACCACCATCGGTTTACCACCATAATAGGTTTTTGTACAAAATGGATAAAGTTCAGTGACAACAAATGTGTTTTTATATTATTATGATTATTATAATATCATCTCCTAAATTTTCGTTAATTTTTAAAATTAATTTATCGTACATAGTTACCACGTAATTGGTGTTCAGCCACGTCATACACAAATAAATTAAGAGAACGGGAAAAGTGATGGATGATGTTTTTGATTAGAACTTCCGACCTTAACAAACACTATTGTGTTGGAACTATGAGATAAAATAAATGATAACATTACTTAGTCAAAATTCAAATCGACCCCTGCGTCGCATAAGGCCTTAATGTAAATAGTTGTTAGTACGGCCATTTAAAGTTCGAATTTGTTATAACATCAAATTGTGATTTTTGTTTTACCCATAGATATAAGAAATAAGGAGATATGCCCAGTAGTTGAAAATGTATCGGAACCCGGTGTCTCCAGTTGGCCCCTACCACGCGCCAACTACTACACATGCAGATCAGTAAAAGCAATAGATACACAGTCGCGCACACACTCGCATTTTATAAATCAAAACGTACTACACAATCAATTATAAACCATATCTCTGAAAAGCACAGCGTGCATTTACCATTCACCGTGCTACTTACTCACACAAAAATATCGGTCACTATCGTTGTGCTGTAAAAAAGCCATTTAATTTACATATGCGTTAGTGATTGACTAAATTGGAAAGTTAACGATTGTTTCATTTATACCAAAATTGTACTAATTTTTTTGGCCCTGAATATAATATGAATAAAATGCCATATGTAAAGAGAATAATGTAATAAAAGTAATTAATATGTAGGTAAAAATGTAATAATACGAGTAACCTAAAATTTAATCAACTTCACGACCGTTGGTTACGCATTCAGCGTAGTAGCACAGAATAAATAATAGCACTACCAGGCCTCCATCACTCTTGCTACCTACAACGCGGTCACATTAACTTGACGCATCGCTGGAATGCGAGGCCCCGCCCGCTTCCCCCCGCACTCCCTTAGCTCGCCCGGCAATCGTCAGTATGGTTAGCATCTCTGTTACCGATACGCGCATCGATATTTTGACTAGTTTTCTGTTGATATTGGTGTTATTGGATATTTTGTTACGTTTTCGTTATTGTTTAAGTTTGGCTGTTTTTGGACATTTTGTTACGTTTTCGTTATTGTTTGAGTTTGGCTGTTTTTGGACATTTTGTTACGTTTTCGTTATTGTTTAAGTTTGGACTGTTTTTGTTAATTTTGGACTATTTTTGTTACTACTCATTTTTTAACACGGGGAAAACTATACACAGTGAAGGGAGAAATCTTCTGTTGAAAGTACTGCAGTTTTTTGAGAATGAGAAGAAAAATAGACGCTTTTGCATACCTAACGATCAGGTTGATAATAAAAAAGAAGTTAACCATGTCGAGAGACTACAACAGGTCAGTTCGTAAATAAATTATAAATCTAAAGTATGTATGTTTATATGTATTTATGATTATTTTGTGATGTTAAATAAAAAAAATATAAGTACTTTTTTGGAGGTACATATTAGTAATTCACTAAATTGATACAATTATTTTGTGGTAAATCTATAACACTATTTTATTTATTTTCAGGAATACTGGGAAAAAGATGGCCTGGTTGACAACGTACTGCAGCAACTTGTAATCGATCTTGGAGGAGAGGAGTCATCCGACAGCGAAATCGAAAGTGAAGAATTTTATATTATCTATCAACATAAAATAGTTTTAAATTATATTGTTTAAAAAAAATACAAAAAAAAAAACAAATAAAACCTATGCTCCAAAATCAAAAATATAGTTTTTATTTAGCTACATGCTTTTTTTTCGCACCGTATATGACTGCCAAAATGACGTCATCAAAGCCATGCGTCAAGTTAATGTGACCGCGTTGTAAGTGAAATAATTACCTAAAATCGCGACGCGCCCGGGCGTAATAACGCAGTCAGGGCTAGCGCGTTGGAGGCGATTGAATGTTAAAGTTTTTTAACGCTGTTTACGTATATAACTTTTTGTAAATATTGTTGAAATAGTTTTTGTTTAGTGTTTAGTATATTTAATTATAGGATAAAATAGTTCAAAAGTTTTAATGTAATTTAAGAACTATATATTATTTATATTACCCATTATTTAATAAATTTTAATATGGCAAAACGTCGTTCCTACTATAATTGTTGCGTGGATAGATGCTAAATGACCAACAAAATATTTCAGATATATCATTCTTTATTACCGAAGGATTTTAGTAGGAAGTTATGAAACGTGAATTTATTTAATTTTTATTGTTAGATCGCTACTTATAGCAAAAAAGATATAAGTAATAATTTATTTAATATCTACGAACTTTGTTACAAAATTTAGTAGAAATTTACTTCACTATCCAAGTATCTACTCACGTAGGTACATATACTTGCCTTTTTGTATTAAAATATTTTAAGCTGTTATTTTAGCTTAAAATATTTACAAACATAAAATAAATACAAAACACTGAAATCAAAACTTGTTGTTTACCAACAAAAATTTTAACTATGTAGATCGATTAAATTTCTGTTAGGTATCGTATTTCAAGTTTATTTGTTGTTTACACTATCTACCATTTTTTTCCGAGCCAAGCGTCGCGATTTCCGACGAATGACCTTGGAAGTTGCATGCGTTAGGCATCGCAGAACTCACGTAGGTGCGAAAATATGGTCTGTCGATCATAGTCAGAATAGGTGTTTCACCTAAGTAACCTAATTAATATTTCGCAATGTATTTGTTACTCTTTATTGACATCCCTCCATAAGAACGGAAAGTCTACAATAACGTAGGAAGATTAAAATGTGCATAATAATACGGACACTCTCTTGCAGCGATAAAGTTTTATTTAGCTTGCGAGCGCAATTTATCTATTTAATAATAATTATGTAGGCTATTAAACGTCGGCAAGCAGTCAACATTAAAAGAGTGAAACTTCTGTACGTAGTACTATTATTTATTCTGTGGTACTACGTACAGAAGTTGCACTCCTTTGATGTCAACTGCTTGCCGACGTTTAATAGCCTACATAATTATTATTAATCAGATAAATCGCGCATGCAAGCCAAATAAAACTTCATCGCTGCGCGTTAGTGTCCATATTACTTTGCATCTTTATCGCTTCCTAAGTCACGGCGGACTTTCCGTGGTAATTAAGGGATGTCAATAGAAAGTTAAAAAAATACATTGCGAAATGTTAATTAAGTTACTTAGGTGAAGTACCTATTCTGACTATGATCGACTGACCATACTTTTGCTCCTAGTAGACCAAATTATTACTTAATTCTTTTTTGCTGTAAGTACCTACCTAACAAAAAAATTAAATAAATTCACCTTTCATAATTTCCTTCTAAAATTCTTCGGTAACTTAAAGAATGATAATATGAAACCTTTTGTTGGTCATTTCATTTAGTATCCATCCACGCAACAGTTATAGTAGGAACGTTTTCCTATTATAATTTATCAAATGGGTAATACACATAATATATAATTTTTAAAATACATTAAAACTTTTACAACTATTTTACCTACAATTAAATATACTAAACACTAAACAAAAACTATTTCAACAAATATTTACATAAAACTATTAACGTAAACGGCGTTAAAAAACTTTAACATTAAATCGCTTACAACGCGCTAGCCCTGACTGCGTTATTTCGCCCGGGCGCGTCGAGATTTTAGTAGTTGTTTTTTTTTATTAGTAGTTGCTGTAAAATAATCAAAATAAGTAAAAAACATTATGTCACATCGGTCTTCCTATCGGGTTGAAACGGTTGACAAATTGGGGAATAAACTATAATAACAATTCGCCAATCCACATTATTGTCGATAGTGGATCTGCACAAGCACACCACTAGCTCGTCGCAAGATACAGCGGCCGTACTACGCCATATATCTGCATAAATAAAGTATCATTTTGTGATATTTACATTGCTTGTTCAGTCACTTGGCGTCATACTAAGGTACTGGTTATGGAGCAATGTATTTACTGCAAAAATATAACAGTGACTGTGATATTTGAAATCAAAAATAACGTAGTAAGAGCAAGAAATATTTTACGATTTGCTGTTTAATATGATTTTAACGATAAATATAATGAAATACTTTTACTTAGGCATGGTAAGTGATTTCATGATTAACAAAGTTTTTGTTTTAGCTTCGGTTTTTACAAGAAACCACTGAACAACATGGTATTCTGATAATATTTCACGATGACGGTCGAAAGCGCACTAATTCGACAGAGACGACCATTTGTATAGAAGCTGAGCATTTTGATCATAGCGCGCGGACACAGACACGCCCCCTTGCCACTTCTCCTGTTGTTTATATTTCTATGGTTTTACCTAAAACCTATCATATAATTAGTAGTATTTTGGCATTGCTACATTAAAAGAAAAATATTTATGTTTTTCGAAAAATACTAAAATAGATATTTACTCTATTCGTAGGGATTAAAACGTCATGACTTCAACTTACGACGAATTATGACATTATCCGTAGTAGAAAATTGTTTTGTTATCAAGTTACGACAAATTACGGCCATAAGCGTCGCTCTTATTTATTATTCTTTATTTTTATTGGCCACTTAGTCAAAGATAGGGAAGAAGTGAAAGGGAGAGAGAGGCGTGGAGTGGGCTATACATGCTTTACTCCAGCTGCACGCTCTCATCTTCATAAAAGAGAAACAAAAAGTTTTTTATACAATATAGATTATAAATAATACTTGCTGAAAGTCGCTTTTTTAATTCACCAATGGTTCGGAAAAAAAACCTCTATCCTGGTAAGAACCAGCAAGCAAACCTATGGGACTTGAAAAAAATTACAGCTTACAATCATGTATGCGACAATTATCATCACAAAACAAATTAGACTTACATTAATATATACATTAATAAATAACGTTTCATTACATTAAGTGTATGTGTACTGCTCAGGTGTATAAATGACTTTATTTTTTGCATTTCTCTCGATAAATTTTCTTTAATTATAATTTTCTATTGTTATAGAAAAGATCTATTACCATTGCAACGAGGACAGTTAAAAGATTTTTAAAACTCATAATATGTAGTAATTATACTTGCTTTACTTTCAATAGCTATATTTTTGTTATTTGCTTTCATTTCCCTTGCGGTAACTTTGGATTTCAATTGCTGTTTTTGTTTTTCATTTTCTTCTTCAATCAGTTTTGTACTATCCTAACACTGCCGGAGGGTTTTTAGTTTTTTTGGCCACATTTTCAGCAGTACACCATAAATTCCGCTATTACTCAATAAAATGAAAAAAATTGGCATTAGAGGAAAAGTACTGGACTTATTTAAAAGTTATTTGTCGAACAGAATACAGAAAGTAACAATGAACGGGAAATTCAGTGGTGACTCTCCTGTCATATTTGGTGTTCCACAAGGGAGTGTACTTGGTACCACGTTATTTTTAATTTATATAAATGATCTTTGTGAATTAAAAATAACAAATGTTAAATTATTTACTTTTGCAGACGACACCTCAATAACTCTTCATTGTAAAACTTGGACTGAGGTCAAAAATAATACTGAACTTGGATTTTGTCGCATTAGTAATTGGCTCAATCAAAACATGCTTACACTTAATATTTCCAAAACTAAATATATGCTATTTACAATCATTCAGCGGACACTACCCACTGAACAAACTTTCGAAATTAAAATGCATTCATGTCTAAAAGGGAATTCTTGTCAATGTAATATACTTAACAGAACTAAACTTTTGTTGTCGTTATTGTTATTGTGTTTCGTCTTTGGTGAATATAAGTTAAATTTAGTGATATAATATATTTTGTGTCATGGAGAAAGGAACTGCCGTCTGTGATACAGGCTCGGTCTAGTACAGCCGGCAGTAACCGAAGTAAGCAACTTAAAAATTTGTAAAATTTGTACATAGCTTATTTTAAACATATAGTAAAAAGCTCATTGTAAAGGAAAGGAATGTAATTATGCTAATAAAGTTTATTATTATTAATTGTAAAGAGAAAACATCTTTGTAAACGTGAGTCCATTCATTTAGGTACAATTTTATAGACTTTTTGTGTACATAATGAGATTCAACTGGCTGAAACGTTTTAACATGCCCGATAACTCCTTCTTTAGCATCATTGTTTATGGTTATTACTCTGGACCCTCCACGATAGTCTTGCGAAATAGACCCACCACCTGAACACCACTTGGACAGCGCTATATTTACTGTTCGCTCTCTTACATTGAGCGTATTAAGAAACATTGTCTTACACACCATCACATTATATTTATCTCATAATAATTAAGAAAATCATTAATTTTATTTACCTAACACTTTTCAGTCAGTTTTAATAAAAGAGTAAATTTTTGTCAATAGTGGCCTCCCTCCTTGGCTTCGCAAAATTGGAATTTGCAGGTGCTGTTATTTGTGTTCAAAATGCACTGTCCGATCGATTTATAGTTTGGCGCTTTAATATTGATTTTCGTCATTACGAAAATTGCGCTAAGTAAGAAAATGTTATATTTATTTTATAACATTTATTTATTAATTATTATTAATCGAATGGCTTAAATGGGAAACGTGAATAATATCAAAATTGGTTGACATCCATTGGTTTTTGTCATAATTTTATCGTGAAGCAGATAAAAATTCCAAGTCCACGGCTTACATATTTAATAACTTCTGGTAGTTTCAACGGTTAATGTCAAAGTTTGATCATTACTGCCAGTTTTTACAGTATGCCTTTAAAAACAATGTTTACAGCTGATTTATTACACAATACGTACAGATTTCGGGGGGGTCGTGGTGTTAACGCTCTATATAAAGAGCGCGGGCGGGCTTCCTCCCCCCCCATTTTTTTTTTTTTGTTTTTTTCCCCCTCGGCCGGGGGGGAAAAGATCAGGGGGAACACGCTGTGTGGAGAAAAAAAAAAAATTTGGGTTCCTTTGGGGTGGCCCGTGGGACGTATATTGTACTTTACTTTATTTACTTTACGTACGTTTTGTTGAAAGTTACACGCTACATATTCTGTAGTATGTACATAGGCTATCCATGAGCAAAACACTCAACGCTTAGGTCTAAGCCCGCAATGTTGAATGTTTGACCTTGTGTTGTTGATCAATTCAAAATTACTTTTACAAAATTACTGCCGTTTAAATGTGAAAGATATATCCGTTGGTAGGTGGTTGGTAATGGAATTCGCAGAAAAAAACGCCACTTCCTGTCAGTATTGTGCACAATATTTTGAATGTTTTACTTATCTACTCAACAATGGAACGTGATCATATATAGAATTAAATACCCACAGCGGGTAACCTGAGTGTACATAACTACGTAATGGGATAGCAAATCATCACAAAAGATAAGAGGGGCGCCATTTGTATCGATTCGAAAACAAAATTACTTCCCTAATCGCTTCATTGATGAAATAGAAATAGAAACCTTTTTATTCAATATAGATTAAAAATAATACCTATTGAAAGTCTTGTGTTAGTGTAATGTATGTTAATGTATGTTTATGCAATCTACCACTGGTTCGGAAAATACTTCTGCCCTGGGAAGAACAAGAAATACAGCAGGACATTTAAAAAAAACAGTTTACAATCATTTAAGTTACAAACTAACAACAATGTATATATATATATATTAATCAATTGCTGTCCGTTAGTCGCCCCAAAACTCAAAAACAACTCGACCGATTTTGATGATTTTGTTTGTGTTTCTGGACGGTTTAGATTCATAATTGTACCCGGTAAGCGGTGCTGTTGTCGAGACCCAGAAATCACCCCTGCGAAGCCGGGCTGGATCACTAATTATTCATAAATTCCTTAATGTTATAACAATCCTTATGATGTTAAAGGCAATATTTTATATAATTTAAAAAATGTTTCAAACTTGTAATAATCTTAACTTATAATCAAACTAGCTGCCCTGGAAGATGTTGTTCTGCCGTTTCTAGTTGGTGATGCGTTTCACTACGAGTTCACTTAGACTTTATACAGTGTGAATATAAAATTGATTAATAACTCGACGCGTTTCACTACGAGTTCACTTGGACTTTGTACAGTGTGAATATAAAATTGATTAAAAACTCGACGCGTTTCACTACGAGTTCACTTAGACTTTGTACAGTGTGAATATAAAATTGATTAATAACTCGACCACAGCGCCACCTACCAAGTCCAGAGTTTGTGATTTTCTTTTTTGGCACTAAACCAACACGATACATTGCGAATATGAGTTATTTTTGTCCTTGAAATATAGAAATTAATTTTTCAATAACTTGACTACAGCACCACCTGTTAGATCCTTGCATCAAAGTTTAATAAACCTTCAACTTTATATAAAGTTCCGGTGTGCGTATATTTGTAATTCTTCTCCTTCAATACGGTTTGACCGATATTGATGATTTTTATGGGGTATTTATAGGGTCACCTGGATGATTCTTAGCTAAACTTGATTACCCGCTAGGTGGCGCTGGCGTGGAGATCCATAAATCACCCTTGCAAAACCGGAGCGGACCGCCACTATGATATAAAGATAAATATGACTTATGAATACCGTATGTCATTCAGGCCAAACAATATAATTCTCACTATACATAGCGCTTCTTAAGATACGTGGTTGAGCCACGCTGCAGTTATATTTTGGTTGTAGCATGAAAGAGTCGGCCCGACCGGGAAAGGACCACACTCTCACAGAATACCGGCGTAAAATAGCAGCTTAATACTGCTGTGTTTCGTATGGTGAGTGTAGAAATCCGGAGACCCATTTTTACTGGAAACGAGGCATTCCATACTACAGCATCCACTTACCATCAGGTGGACTGTGTGCTCGTTTGTCATCCTTATTCTATAAAAAAATCATTATAATGTAATGTACATCCGATTTTAATATGGTAATGTCTTGGCACAGAACTTATCACTATCATCATCATCACCTGCTGGACAACCACTGTTGGATATCGATTCCTCTCGTTAAAGGGAGGATTAACACTTGACGTTTCGCACTTTAATGCTAGTTCCCATCACTGACCTATAGCCACGAAATCTTTTTCAGCATTTCCCATATGCACCTCTAACATAACACGCAGAATAAAATGAAGATATGAATTATTTATACGCCGCCACTTAGTTGTTTCATGTTACAAACATAGTATGTGACGGGGTCCACCATACTTAAAGGACGTTTGTTACTCGTTTAACAAAGTTCATATACTTATAATAGTTAATAATTCAATTTCATATAACATAACAATAATACAATATGTATTTCAGTGACTCCTAATCTAGTGTAAAATGTGTGTTGTGTTATTTTTGCGCTATTAATTTATGTCTTAAATTTACCACACCGTTCTCAATTTTATAAATAAAGATAATATATCATAGTTTCATCATCTTTGATCAAACCATATAGAAGTATAAGTATCGTTATCAAAATTTATCGTATCATTATCGAAATTATTGACTAACGTTTGACATACTGTATGTTTTCAGGTCCGTCGCCTGGGATTGGGAAGTGGCCCTCGCCGTACATTCGACTTGAACGATCCGTACTGTTACAATGTCTCATATGACTACGTACCAATGCACGACCCGCATCTCGCACACCACTTCTCACAGAAGCCGGCACAGCGTAGGATGAAACAGCTTGGCTTTTGCACCAAAGACGGGAGGGCTGTATGCTCACTGAAAGAATTTAACCAGTATAGGAAGTATCTCTACAATCAGTTTATGGATCGGATACACATGGAAATGAAGAAACTGGTAAATATAAAAACCTCACAGCAGACCTTCCTTATTTCTTAACACTTTTTTCATCATAAAAATAATATCGTCATCATTATTTCCCCGCTGCTAACTCTTATTACCTTCGATTATCCGTGTAATATATTAACATTTTTTAAATAGATTTTTTTATAGAAGAGGGGGCAAACAAGCATGTGGCTCACCTTATGGTGTCTCCTGACGCCCATGAACATGTTATCAGTTTGCTACATACCATTGATATGCAGAAGAAACAGCATCGGTGATAGCACGCAGCCTTGTGGAGCACCAGCGTTTATAGGCTTGTAATAAGAGCATGCACCATCTACTACGACCTTGATGCTCCGATCAGCAAGAAAGCTGGTGATCCAATTGTACAATTTCTCGGGAAGCCCATAGGAAGGGAGCTTCGAAAGAAGCGCTTTGTGGCAGACCCGATCGAATGCTTTCGCAATGTCCAAACTATGCCTCCAATGTCTCCCCCGTGGACTCTACTGCCTCCACACATCGATGAGTCAGGTAGAACAGAAGATCACCAGCTGATTGACCCGACGAAAACCGTATTGTTGGCTATTATAATATAACTATTAATGTGGCGTTGCAGGACCTTGGACTCAACTTAACTCAACTAGTGAAATGGCAAACTAATTTACAGTCTACCTGATAGTAAGTGGCCACTGCAGTCTACAGATGCCAGTCAACTTCTAGCAAAGAACGCTACAGATGCGTTGTCACCTCTGAGAATTCAGATGAAACTCCTGACCCAGCCTGTAATTATACTGGCTCAGTACACCTTCAGATAGGAATTCAGCAGTGCAATCATAATATTTAGTGACAATCGATTTGATTCAATCTTTGGCTACATCACCGCTTACCATCATGTTATGATAGTAAAAAATATATATATTTGTTCAAAGCGACAGAACTGAATGTCGAATCAGGTATTTATCTTATGAAGTGCCTCATTCTGTATAAGCGTTTAGTTTTTTTATTACTACGGTCCTCGCACACCTGAAATTAACCTCAAACAAATAAGTTCACACATGAATAGCCGCTCCTGACGACTAACCTGTTACTGTGATACCTCACAGCCTATAAACCAGTCTAGACGGACTCGTTGGTATATAACAAGCTTTACCACAAAATAATACTATATATTATTATTTTAATTCAAAATTAATTATAAATAATATTACAAATTAAATAGGATGAACGTGCTCGTGATGACCTCACTCTTAGACGCGTAGAAGCGGATGTATCTCGCCGATTGCAGGCTTTCATTAAAACCGAGAGGGCCAGAGAACATTTAGAACGTGTAGCTCAAGAACATGCCGACGAATGGGCCGAGAAAAAAAGACTGTGAGTTGTAGTAAAGTCAAATTATCATCTATTAGTAATCATGTAACTTCTAAACGTGTTGAGCGATAGAATTCATATTCATACATTAAATTTGTTTTGTCTACGGAGTGGTTCATAACTATACTGAAGTAATTAGTAGTAATATTATTATTTTATCCGGTATCTGATACCGTTGTAATGTTATTAACAAATTCTATATTTATAGACCAAAATGATTCAATTAATAATGTGTACAATACGAAAACGTGGTGGTGAACCACCAGGTTTTCGTATTGTGCCGTTCCGTGCAGTATGCCAAACAAATTTACAAAATCCGGACGCTATGGGTAGTACAGTGGTAGAGTTATCAATAAATTTTATATAAATTTACACTAAAAGTCCTGAATGAATTCACCACCTATGGAACCTATCATCATCATCATCATTACAGCCCTTCACAAGTCCACTGCTGAACATAGGCCTCCCCCAAGTAATGCCACAAAGCACGGTCCTGAGCCACCTGCATCCATCGACTTCCTGCATGTCTTACCAGGTCGTCACTCCATCTAGTGGGGGGTCGCCCTACACTACGCCTACAGGTACGAGGCTGCCACTCGAGAACCTTTCTTCCCCATCGATTATCGGTTCTTCGAGCTATATGGCCGGCCCATTGCCACTTCAGCTTACTAATCCGTTGGGCTATGTCGGTCACTCTGGTTTTACTGCGGATATCCTCATTTCTGAGTCTATCACGCAGAGAAACTCCGAGCATAGCCCTCTCCATAGCTCGCTGAGCGACCTTAAGCGTCCTCATACGGCCAGCAGTGAAGGACCACGTCTCAGATCCGTAAGTCATCACTGGCAACACGCACTGGTTGTACAATCTAGTTTTTAGAGATTGAGGTATACCTGACGAAAAGATATGCCGTAATTTCCCGAACGCTGCCCAGCCGAGTTGAATCCGTCGATTGACCTCTCGGTCGAAGTTGGACTTACCTAGTCGGACTATTTGTCCCAGGTAAACGTATTCGTCAACAACTTCGAGCATAGTGCTCCCAACAACTACCGGCATAGGTGTGACATGGACATTGAACATGATCTTTGTTTTGTCCATGTTCATCTTAAGACCTATCCGTTGGGAGGCACTATTGAGGTCATTGAGCATAGTGCTTAAGTCCTCCAGCGATTCTGCCATAAGGACTATATCGTCGGCAAATCGAAGGTGAATGATGTACTCGCCATTGATGTCAATACCGTATCATTTCCAGTCCAGTAGCTTGAAAACGTCTTCCAATGCAGCGGTGAAGAGTTTCGGGGATATAACGTCACCCTGTCTTACACCTCTCTGCAGTTGGATAGGTTTCGAGCTCTGGTTCTGTACTCGGATAGCCATCGTAGCCCTACTGTACAAACACTTCAGCACTTCGATATACCGACAGTCAACTTGGCACCGCTGAAGGGACTGTAGCACCGCCCAAATTTCGACGGAATCAAAGGCTTTCTCATAGTCCACATACGCCAGGCAAAGTGGCAGATTGTACTCTTCAGTCTTCTGTACAATCTGCCGCAGGGTATGTATGTGGTCTATGGTACTGAAGCCTTTTCGGAAACCGGCTTGTTCGGGAGGCTGGAAGTCGTCAAGTCTGCGTGCGAGACGATTCGTAATGACTCTCGAAAACAGCACGTAGACGCGGCTCAGAAGGGAAATCGGTCTGTAGTTCTTTAAGAGAGCGTTGTCGCCTTTCTTAAAGAACAAGACCACCGCACTTCTGCTCCACGCCTCTGGAGTAGTGCCACCATGGAGGACGGAATTGAAGAGCTTCTGAAGGACTTCAAGTACCGGTGTTCCACCCGCTTTCAGAAGCTCCGCTGTAATTCCATCCTCGCCTGGGGCCCTGCCGTTTTTAAGGTGCTGGAGAGCCATTCTAATCTCGCTTAGACTGACGTCCGGGATATCATCGGAATAGTGTCGGATAAGACTTGCTCTTGGATCGTTACTCACACTTGCGTGTGGCTCCAACGATGATGTGTACAGCTGCCCATAGAACCTCTCAATCTCACTCAAAATCTCAGGTGTCCCGGAAACGATGTTGCCACACTCAGTCTTCAGCCTTGACAGTTGGCTCTTTCTGGCAGACAGATCTCTGGCAAAGACTTTGGAGCCCTGGTTCCGCTCGATCGCTTCTTTAATACGAGAAGTATTAAAGTTGCGTAAGTCTCGCCGTATGCATTTGGAGATCTGTCTGTTCAGTTGCCTGTATGCTGTCAAATCTGTTGACGATTGCAGCCTCATCTCCCGTCTAACAGCCATGAGATTAAGAGTGTGATCGGAGAGTTTTTGTGTTCTTCTGCGGCGGGTCTTGCAGAACTTAGCTCCGACCGCATGGACAGTTTCCACGAGCTTGTCGTTCATATCGTCTACTGCATTGCAATCTTCTAGGCACTGGAAGCGGTTACGTAACTCGAGCTGAAAGGTTTCGGGATTCTGGATTAGTGCACGAGGGGGACGGAGCGTTGACTTCATTAGACGAGACCTCTCCAACTTAACGTTTAGGTTCAGTGTGCCTCTAACCATTCGGTGATCGCTGCCAGTTTTCACCCTTGCGATCACTGAGACATCACTGAACAGTTGGCGTCTGGTCGTCATAATGAAGTCAATCTCATTTTTTGTCGAACCGTCGGGGCTCGACCAGGTCCACTTCCTGTGGGGCCGCTTCTGGAAGAAAGAGTTCATCATAAAGAGTCCCTCTTTCTCCATAAAGTCGGCCAGCTGCTGGCCCCTTCGGTTCCGTTGCCCTACTCCAAATTTCCCTACCTTCAGCTCACCGCTTTCTCTTGTGCCCAGTTTTGCGTTGAAGTCTCCCATCAACACCGTGTAGTAGGTTTTGGAGGAATGTATGGCTCTGGAAATATCCTCATACATTTCCTCCACCTCCTCATCGGGATGTGCCGAGGTTGGTGCGTAAACCTGAATGACCTTCAGCGAATACCGTTTGGTGATTCTGAGTATCAGGTACGCGACCCTCGTCGACACACTCCCAATCTTTACAACGTTGTTGACGAGAGATTTGTGGACGATAAATCCGACACCTCCTTGGGACAGATGGTCGCCCTCCCGGTGATAGAACAAGTTGCCGGACTCGAGGATTGCCGTGTCCTCCCCCTCTCTTCGGACCTCGGATAATCCAATAATATGCCAGCGCAACTTGTCTACCTCTTCTTCCAGCTCCAGTATCTTCTCGTCAGTCCTCAGGGTGCGTGCGTTATATGTTGCCAGGTCGAGTCGTCGTAGGTGGCAACCGAACCTCCACCGGAGATTCTTAGCACCCCCCTGCCCCGCCGTTACCATGGTCGCCACCGTAGCCAGGAATAGCGGGGCCGCCGGGGACTGGGGGCCGTCTGTTTGTGTATTTATTCATTGGGGGGTATTTGCCATAGTTGCCACGCTTGGCGAGCGGGTTGGCAACCGCAGTTTTTTATTACGTCACAGTTGTCATCAGGAAGACGCTGCTGCCCATCTCCTGCCTGTCTCCCTCTGTCGCCTCTTACGACACCCACGGGAAGATATGGGGTAGTGGATATTCTTAACCGCCACTACATGGAACCTATGGAAATAGTAAAACAACGTCTGTCAGGCCAAGGCCATCTAATAATAATATAAAAACTACGGATTGTGCCAATTGTAAGTTCTAAATAAGAATCTTATACTATTGTCAAGTAAAATTATTAAAAAAGTATGTATTAATTTTCTCTTATCTATCTACCTCTACTCCTACCTCTCATATACCACCTTATTTTCTGATATATTATATATTCATTCTTGGGGCAATGTTTTTACAACAAAATCTAGCCTTATGCATCGAACTATAAAATAATTGAAAAATGCAAATTCTCTCCATAATACTCCTCCGAGTTTCAATCGCGTTGACATAAATTTATTAGTTGCTGAAGTATGGGACTACTAGCATGTAGCGAATTTCTCCGCCAGACTTAACAGGCTTTACAAAGTACGTGAGGCGGGAAAGGTGTGATTAATGGGTACACTTTATTTCTATTTAGTTCTACATAATGTTCACTTGGTATTACTTGTTTGATGTTCGTAGGGCTTTTCAAATGAAGTTGGTAACAGAAGTAATTGGAGAATAATTTCGTACAAACAGTCTTTTGGTATTAGGTTAATGGTTTCTACGCTCTAGCTTTGAACGTAAGGAAATCCATTATATATTGTAGCGTTGGTATCATAAAAATATATGTTATGTCAAAAAACACATAATGGTGTTTGATTAATAGCGAAAACAGTATAACTGTGTCACTTGCACAGATCCTAGAAAAAGTCTTTCTGGAGAGTCAACGCAGGTATACATATATTCTGCTTTCTCACTCCCTTCTACATGGAACAATAAGAGTCTTGGTGGGTCTACACCTCTATACGATGGTCATCATCATCATTACAGCCCTTCACAAGTCCACTGCTGAACATAGGCCTCCCCCAAGTAATGCCACAAAGCACGGTCCTGAGCCACCTGCATCCATCGACTTCCTGCATGTCTTACCAGGTCGTCACTCCATCTAGTGGGGGGTCGCCCTACACTACGCCTACCGGTACGAGGCTGCCACTCGAGAACCTTTCTTCCCCATCGGTTATCGGTTCTTCGAGCTATATGGCCGGCCCATTGCCACTTCAGCTTACTAATCCGTTGGGCTATGTCGGTCACTCTGGTTTTACTGCGTATATCATTTCTGAGTCTATCACGTAGAGAAACTCCGAGCATAGCCCTCTCCATAGCTCGCTGAGCGACCTTGAGCGTCCTCATACGGCCAGCAGTGAAGGACCACGTCTCTGATCCGTAAGTCATCACTGGCAACACGCACTGGTTGTACACTTTAGTTTTCAGAGATTGAGGTACACCTGAGGAGAAGATGTGTCGTAATTTCCCGAACACTGCCCAGCCGAGTTGAATCCGTCGATTGACCTCTCGGTCGAAGTTGGACTTACCTAGTCGGACTATTTGTCCCAGGTA